TTACGAGTAATTTAATAGTCTCTTAATTGATGCAGTTTGTTTTCACATAATTATATTTCCTAAATACTGTATTCATACATGATATAGAAGTTTTTATAAATTAACAAAAGATACTGATTAGTTATGTTCAATATTTTCATATAGAGCAATATACCTGTAATCAATCATGATCTAATGATTCATTTGTAATACTTACCTAAATGTTTTCTTCATAGTGGATATCCTTACGTATGTTGCTTGGAAGATAAGTGGCTTTCCCAAAAACCGTGTTATTGGCAGTGGCTGCAATCTGGATTCAGCGCGGTTCCGTTACCTGATGGGGGAGAGGCTGGGAGTTCACCCACTAAGCTGTCACGGGTGGGTCCTTGGAGAACATGGGGACTCTAGTGGTAAGCATAAGTTGTTTTCTCTTTCCTTTTAAAAAGACTGTAAGAAATTGACAGGAAGTTTATTACTATTATCATTATGAATTGTTAAGGTTCTAGCTATTTTGTATGACGTTATAAGGCAGGTAAGATGGGAATGAAATTTCTTTTACATTTTACTGTGAGCATAATGAATAAGGGTACTTCTTTCTAGGATGACTGCAGTCATTTAGTATCACAGCTGTTTATGTTGTTAAGAGTTATTGAGTCAGTTCCTACTCATAGCAACCCTGTATAGGGTTGAACTGCCGACACTGCGGTTCAAACCGACCTTGCAGTCCATCACATTAGCCCGCAGTGCCACACAGCTGCTTATATTTGATTTGGATTGCCTGGAGCATCGGACATCAAGGATCAAACCCACTAGCCGCTCTTCAGAAACCCTATAACAGGATCGCTATGAGTTGTAACTGACTTGACATCACAATGAAAAGGCTTAGTTAATCCAGATGGAGTACATGAAAACTGGAGAGAGAATTCTGTTATCTATTACAGTTGATTGTGGCACTGTAGGATAAGCATTGAAAGCTTAAGGTCTGCAGTTCAAACCCAACCAGCTGCTCCTTGAGGACCCTTATACAGGGTCTGTATAGGTTGGAACCAACTTTTTGGCAACAGCATTGCAGTTGAAAGAGATAGTGTAATTTGTTTAGAGGTCCTTATGTCAAAAAAATTCCCTTTGTTATCTCATCCTACCTTTATGATTTCAGATAATACAGATTACATATCCAATAGGTCTAGGGGACAGTGGAAATTCTCAGTTTTATGTAATTTAGGCCAAGGAACAGCTAATCTAAAAGTGAAAACTTTTAAGAAGTTCATCAAGGTAGTCTTGATCATCTACCAAAAGGGGTAAGCCTCCGAGTTATGAAAAAAGGATTTGGAAAAATGTGCTGGAATTTTTTAAGAAGGGGTGGTGGGCAGAATTATTAGCCTGCTGCTGTGTCTAAGTAAGCACATGCTGTGCTGTCTTGTAGTGCCCGTGTGGAGTGGTGTGAACGTTGCTGGTGTCTCCCTGAAAAATCTGCACCCCGATTTAGGCACTGATGCAGATAAGGAACAGTGGAAAGAGGTTCACAAACAGGTGGTTGACAGTGCTTATGAGGTGATCAAACTGAAAGGCTATA